ATAATAATAATAATAATAATAATAATAATAATAATAATAATAATAATAATAATAATAATAATAATAATAAATCTTGGGACTGTCAAAAGAGCTTTTAATCCAGTGGCCCACAAATGCAATACAATTTAAGAGAACAGCAGCCAATGTTCAGATTAAAGGGCTCCAGAAGGGCCTGCCTGGCGACACTGTCCCAGGCAGAGTAAATTGGACCCTTGATGTTTAATAGGAGCTGCCAAAATTGCTCTTGGTCTGGCCTCTCACCCAGGATCAATTAGACTTGAGAGACCCTACCAGGGGTGAATTGTCCCCCAACAACATACATTATATTGCCAAAAGTATTCACTGATCTAGCACCTTGGCATGCAAAATGCTTCCACAAACATTTGTGAAAGATTGAGTCACTCTCAGGAGCTCAGTGAATTCCAGTGTGGTACCATGATAGGATGCTTCCTGTCTAACAAATATAATCATAAAATGTCCTCACTACTAAATATTCCACAGTGAGCTGGTTTATAACAAAGTATTATAACAAAATGGAAGTGATAAGGGAACAACGGAAAGTTCACCATGAAATGGTATTACCATGTAAAATCACAGAGTGGGATCAGCAGATGCTCAAGTGAACTTTCTGAAGCATCCGTCACTACAGACCTCCAACTTCATGTGACCTTCAGATTAGCTCAAGAACAAAGCGTAGAAAGCTTCATGAAAAAAGCTTTCCATGGCTTAAAAGCTGCATCCTAGTCTTGTATCACCAAGCAAAATGCAAAGTGTCAGATGCAGTGCTGTAAAACACGATGTCACTGGACTCTAAAGCAGTGGAGACACGTTCTCTAGAGTGATGAATCAGACTTTTCCATCTGGCAATCTGATAGACAAGTCTGGGTTTGTCGGTTGCAGGAGAGCGGTATTTGTCTGACTGCATTGTGCCAAGTGAAACATTTCGTGGAAGGGAGATTATAGTATGGAGTTGTTTGTCAGGCGTTAGACCCCTTAGTGTCAGTGGAAGGAACCCCTAATGCCATTTCATACCAAGGCATTTTGAATAATTCCATGCTCCCAGCTTTGTGCGAACAGCTTGGGGATGGCTCCTTCCTCTTCCAACATGACTGCGCACCAGTGCACAAAGCAAGGTCCATAAAGATGTGGCTGAGGGAGTCTGGTGTGGAAGAACTTGACTGGTCAGCACAGAGTCCTGACCTCAACCTAGTAGAAAAGCTATGAGATGAATTAGAGCGGAGACTGTGAACCAGGCCTTTTCACCCAACATCAGTGTTTGACCTCACAAATGCACTTCTGGAAGAATGGTAAAGAAAATAATTCCCATAAACACACTTTGGCAATATAGTGTAGCTCCTCAGATCACTGGAACACACAAATCCCTGAACCACAACAAGGCTTGGAACTTTATAAAAGAATAGAATGGAGTAAACAATGGATTCGATTCCAGTTTCATTTCAATAGTATTAATATAGCACCAAATCAAAAGTTGCCTCAAGGTGCTTTATATTGTAAGGTAAAGACTCTCCAATAATACACAGAACACAGATAAAACACTGGCAATCATATAAACTCCGCTGAGCACCTGCTTTGGTCACAGTTGGAAAGAAAAACCTCCAGTAGAACCAGGCTCAGGGCAGCCACCTGACGAAACCAGTTGGGGTGAAGGGAGGAAGACAGGCTAAAGAGCCAGAGATTAATAATAATAATAAACAAATGTGTGGGAAAAAAGTGACATCATGGGAATCCCCAAAGCAGGGGTTGATACGGTAACGGTACTATGACGTAATTGAGATAGAATTGAGCCTGAATATTCAAGACCTTGTTAACTAAGACCCGATTGCTGCACATCATAACATCATTATTTACAATAATGCTTTGGATTTGTCATTTATGTAAAAAAACAATATGATAAAAACTCTCCCCTGGAGGGGAAATCACCAAAACCACTGTGATCTCCCCGTTTGCCCTGAAAAAACAAAACAAAAAAACCCTTTGGGAATTCCATTAAAAGAAGCTCGTGATTTCCCTCCTTTACTATTTTTTTCTTAGTATTTTTGCTTTAATTTAGAGTCCATCATCTTACATCTGCAAGCTACAACACTTTTTTTTTTAAATTGTGCTCTTCACTGTAGATACATTTCACACTCCTGCTCTTTCACCACTAGATGGCATTGCAAATACAGCCCAGCACCTTTCGAGGGCTTGTGAAAAAGTCTTCAACACTTTTTTGTGTTTCTCTCTGTGATGCCTGCCAGGACTCGGCAATGGCTTTTGGTGTTTAGGCAATAGCCTGTAATATGTGTCGATATATGAGAACAAACACTGTTTTTAAAAATGCAATTAAAAAGTCACGCAAAGAGCAGTAGTGAAGATACATGACTTTGTTATAAAGTTCTGCATTATGGTCAAGTACTTTGCAAAGTCATGATGGTAACTTTTTTCTGCACATCCATGCAGAGTCATCCCTATGACCAATCCTTAGTCGTTATAAAAGGAGTAATTTCAAGTTCTCTATATTCCAAAGATGTCAGAAATTCCAACTGACTGCATCGCGCTCGCTTTAAAGATACCAATCATAGCAACAACAAGCACAGCATTAACTCAGCATCATCTATGAGTGCAAACAAAAAACACCTGAGTTCTCAAACTGTTTGTGTTCTGTTTTTTACCTTCAGTGTGCAGGTGTCTGTTTGATCTCGTGGTGTGATCTATTGCGCCTGCAGCCTGTGCAAGCAAATAAAATGTGCTTGTGTCAAAAGGGTAAATTCACTCAAAACACAAAACTAGATGGGCTCCAGGTTACACTCAAAATATAATCCCTGGTTATTATTCTGACGTGCCCTTTCAGGTTGTCTTGGCGTATAGCACAGGTTTGGACTTAACTGCATCAACACCAATCCAACACCAGTGGATGTGTTGCACTGGTCTGCTGTCCCAAACCTGATACTGGGCTTTTCTTTTTCATCTCATCCTTTTTATAGGGACTACATTCTGCAAAGAAATAGTCCCTTTGACTTGCCAACAATCATGAATAGGGAT